TAAACTTCACAGGTATTTTGATGCTTCCTGAAGCCTGCATAAGATATCTTCCCGAAATTATTTTGACATCGCATTTTCAGTGAAAAACTGCTATTCAAGTGGAAAATATCAGACACTTCCTCATTCCCCCTATTGAAAATATTATTAATGAAACTGAACTAGAGATAATTCGAACCCATCTAACCAAAAAGGAACACACAACTTCGACATTCAAAAGACAACCAGATACCGACGTATTAGGAGCGGACCAATCTTTACATACGATGGAACTCGATCTACAATGACTTCTCTCGGCCCAGCATAGTTAACACAGTCACCCTCTGACCTCTACCATTTCATCAACCGTTATCATTTTAAGTTCCATCCTTGTTACCTTGGGAGTAAGTGCCCTCCTCATAGTCATATATAAGGGTTGCCAAGCTTTTCGACTCCAATCCCGCCGAGTTTGTCCCACCCTAGAGTTAAGTGAGGGTGCCTCTCACACTACCTTACAAACTCTCCTAGTAACTTCCACATCTCCTGGAGACCGAACTCCTCCCTTAATGTAATCAAATCATTTCCTTCATCAATCTTTAGCAAGATCCAAATATCACAATTTATAATTTTTTTTTTCTTATTTTTACATTTTATATCAAGTTATTAATATCTTTTTCTCATTATTAATATCAATTTTACATTAACATAGTAATGTCAAGTTCCCCACAACCAATATAGCTATTTCCTCTCTCTTACAGACCATAATGAGTAACATGGATTCAACGTTAATCACTCTTTTAAACTGTCCCAGTTGTTATACTCAAGAGTGTCCGCTTATTTATCAATGCACCAATGGACATATTGTGTGCTCCGACTGTCGTCCCTGCATTACAAATTGTCACATTTGGCAGGAACCCTTAGGACATATTAGAAGCTTGATCGCCGAACAAATCGCCAGCACCTTGCAAGCACCGTGTGGATTTCAGCCTTTTGGATGTTCGGAATTACTACAAGAGGACAACCGTCAAATCCATGAGGAGTCTTGTAACTTTCGACCCCTTTTGTGCCCTTTCCGCTCTTCCAATTGTTTGTGGGAAGGTGCTTGTTCCTACCTTCGTCGACATATTAACGCCTTCCACCTACAAGTACCCACCATAAAAAGAGAGATCATTTTTTTTGGAGGAATTGATATCCACACTACAAGAAGCACTTGGGCTGCTATCTTAGAATGTTACTCCCAAACCTTTTTACTTCTGGTATCTTCTCAAATTCCGACAATCCCACTTTTAATATCAATCTTTACTTCCTAGAGAAACCCTCCCCTTTTAATAAATTTTGATACAATATTAAATTTAAAAAGGGAGACCACATAATGCGATGGAGCACTCTTGTCTCCGAAACCTATGGAGAAAACCCCCCTCTCCTCACCCTATACCTTATCTTGAAATACCTTTAACCTTTATTCAACTTTTCGGCTTTCACCATAATTCAAAATTCATTCTCAACATTTCCCCTTTATAGGATGGCCGAAGATCAGGAGTGGCAGAGCTTTACCCCTTTACCTTCTCCACCTCTAACAACATCTATAACTACTACAACTACTCCAACCACTACAACCCACAAAGTCAACACTGATGCGGTACAAGCAGCTATCTGCTTTGCCCAAGCACAACCCCAGACCTTCCAAACCGTTCCCATCACAATCATCTTATCGATAAATTATAGCTACCCCCCTCAATTAGAACAAGCCTTCCAAGCAGCCAATCAACCCTCGCTAGGATGGACCAACATACAACCACATACCTCTCGCACTCCAGTACTTAGTTTACCAACCTTTACCAGACCTCCTCATAATTCCAACCGTCACCACTAATCCCAACCTATAAAATCCTTCTGTTATTCCCACTCCTCATTATATAAACTTCAATACATTAATAACATACTATACATTAAATGCTTTTTCCCCATATTTTTCCTTTTATACATATCTATATAATCATATTTTATTTTATTATCGATGTAACCACTGTGTCTTATATTTACTTTATGTAAACTAATATCCTTAATAAACATTTATACTTAATCATATGTTTATGTTGTTGAGGTTTGTTTTCACCGCGTTGTCATAACAAGAGAGAGAGTCAAATATCTGAACTGTAAACTATATATATCAACACGCGACTGTACGCGATGTATCTAGTCTTACGATTTTACAACTCTATTAATATCTCGTTGTCCATTTATAATATCTCTTAAATTAATTGTATAAATTTATTGTAACCCTGAGAGAGAGAGGAAATCAATTATAGCCATTTAATTCAAAATCGATCTTGCCCATTGAGAACAAGCATGATTTTAGAAAGGCCGAGGTGATGTGAGGATCCGAATCCAGACTTTCAATATATTTATATCATTACATCATAATATCACATCGTAGCTATACTTTCATTAAATAACTGTCAACTTTTACACCTGCGAACTAAACATCTGTTAAGTTCTCAGGCCTAATAACGACACTGTCTCATCACCTTTCGACCTAAAATCTCGATTTCAACATTACAACATTAGAACAGAACAATAAAGTGAGGCAGTCGTCGCCCTTCCCTCTTGGATTAAAGTCAGCGAAATTTTCTGTGTGTCAGTGACAATTTCTGTGCTCAACCAGTACCCCGTCGGATTTTTACCATTACTTTCCATTTTGCCTAGAATACTTTCTTGATCCAGACCAAGCATTTAAAATCCCGCATTCAAAATCCTCACCCTCAAGATCCTAATTTTAACCTCAAGTCAAGAATTGAAATCAGGATATCATACAAAGTATTTATCGTCACACAAAACTTCTGTAAACTCTCTCTCTCGGGAATCGGAAAAACCGTAATATCAATTATATCTATCTATCAAATCATAAAAATGTATCAAAAAGCTAGCATAGTTAAAATTGAAATGTTGTATGGCCTCTCGTTACCCATTAAACAGTTGTTACGTTTAATCGTCTCTGAGTAAGTCACTTCTGGTTGTCATTCCCAAATCTGGTTGCTCCAATACGCGACCTCTCGTGTGACCTATTTTAATGCGGCTTCCATGTCTGCCGAGATGCGGTGGTGTCATCCTGACAGGGCATCGAAGAGGTGCCAACCCTTCGGTCACAATATTCTCCTTGAACCTTTTAGACAAGTTTGACCTTGTTGTCCATAATCTCTTCAGAACTAAATTTCTCTCATACACCAAGAGAAATTTTAACCATAGATTTAGTATTATTTCTAGGAAACCTGACTACATTGGACAGACTGAAGTCCTTTAAATCTAACTCGTTTTTTATAAATTGAAATATCTCAGCCGACAGATCATCAGTTAAAAACGGAAAATTAAAAATAACAATGTTGTTTCTCGTTTTTTCATTAATCAACTGATCCAACTGAAATTCAACCTTACCTCTCAATAGTCCTCCATAATTAGCATTCCATTCCAATCGTTCTACTCTATGAAACACAATACACAAGTCTTCCCTTAGATCATTATACCTGTACTTCTTTTTCAATGTATTGTGTATTGTGATATGCAAATATTCAACAAGGCGTGAGTTAACAAATGATCAAACTACTGATTTATTTATGTCAGTTTCTTTATTACTATTACAAGACAGATATAATGTGTCTTGTAATAGTAATAATGTCTTGTAATACTCTTCCTTAATTTCACTCAAATCCACAGAAAGTTGAGAGAATTTCTCCTGAATTAGATCATAAACTGTTTTAATAGTGTAATGTGATTCCTCACCGAGATCTTCCTCTACACTAGTGTTTCTCAAACGGGATTCCGGGATCCCGGTTGTTTTTCTAACCCGGGAAATATCCCGGGAAATTTTTCTTATCCCGGGAAATCCCGTAAATTTCTTAAAAATTCACTTTTTTTTATTATTTTGTGTTAAAGTTAATTATGCTTTTTATTTGCAAAATTTCTTAACTTTAACACAAAATAATAAAAAAGTGAATTTTTAAGAAATTTTAAGAAATGAGATAATTATGCTTTTTATTTGCAAAATTTCTTATCTCATTCACTGTCAGAATACATTTGTATTTATTAATTTTGAACCTACATATTACTTTTTTTAAATTTTTGCTCGTTATGGCGTGCCACAAATGGTCGATAATCAATACGTAGCTTATTTGTGCCAGGACTCTGAAAATTCTCTACTTGTCAGAACCTGTAATATATGGAATAATTGTGCTTACGCTGTCTTAATTTTTAACCATGCCCAGTAGCTTCAATAAATGCGTAACGCCAGATTGTGCAAATTGGGCAAAGATACAAACGAGTATAAAGTCTGCAAGTATGAAGTTTTTTTTCATAAACCTGATTATTGAAGCCAAACGAATTGCCAAATTATTGAGCTATAAGCTTGATGCCGCTATTAAATCAAAAATACCAGAGAGCAAAAGAAGTACTACAATCTAGAAAACAAACTCGAAATCTTTCAGGCTACAGGTGAAAAAACACATTATATCTGTCTTCTCTTAAATGCATTAAACATGATTCCAATCACATCAATTGAATCGAAAAGGGCATTCTCGGTAGCAAGACTTTTCATTACTAAAATAAGAATTAAAGTGAGTGATCGGCGTATTGATCATCTTTGCTTTTTAAAATCTTATAAAAGTTTACAATATTTTGTATTATATTTTATTTAAAAAACGAAAATTACTTTCTAAGTTATAAGTTTGATCTAAGTTCAATTTTTTACCTTTAACTCAGAGTTCCGCAACCTTTTTCTACTCGCGGCACACTTATGACTCGACACGACTCAACATGGCACACCAAAATGTTATTCCCCTTAAAAACGTATTTATTATACTATTAATAGAATTACATAATGCCACTAACCTATTATTATTATTATTATTATTAAACAGACATCAATTCGTGCGTTTATTAAAATTTATGAACTTTAATTCACTGTAGAGTGTATAGTGTAACAAATACACTTTTCTACTACTATTAAAATAAATAATTCTACTTATACCGTTTCAATGTGATATTTGCACCTGCTTAGCTGCACACAGATGGCTGATCCGTGGTGAAATCATTGACAATGCTAGTCTCATTTCTTCATCGACAGATCTGAGTCTCTCCCTCTTTGATGTTTTAATTTCAGTCAACGTCGAGAAGCCCAGTTCACACAAATACGTAGTAGAAAATGGCAATAACATATTAACTGCCATCTCGGAGATAGCCGGGTATTCACTTCTTACTGCCAACCAAAATGTATCCAAAGGCACTTCGAGGAGTTGTAATTTCAATGTTCTGTCTGCTTTTAATTCCGCGAGTTCCTCTTGTAAATGAATAGGTAGAGATTCTGAAATCGCAACGAATGGATTACGAACCCAGTCGATATCTTCAACACTGTCTCCAAAATACTTCTTAAACCTCTGCTGCAAGATTTGTAAATGTTCTTTAATTAGATCCATCATCACTTTATTACCGGAAGCAAGTGACCATACAGTCGAGAACATTTCAAATGAACCATTTTCAATTCTCTGTATCCACAAATTTAGCTTATTCACAAATCCTTGAATCTTATCCATACTAGTAAGAATATTTTCGTTCCTACCTTGCATTTTTCTGTTCAGTTCATTCAAGTGTACGAAAATATCAGAAAGATACGCCAACTTACATACCCATTCATCATCTGCAAATAAATCCGCGTACTCGTGCCTTTCGACAGTCAAAAATGCACGTACCTCGTCTTTAAGTTCCAATATTCGCGTTAATACTTTTCCTCTTGATAACCACCGTACTTCTGTATGTAGCAGGAGTGTGGTGTGTTCTGATTCCATTTCCTGACACAAAACGGAAAATAGCCGCGAATTTAGGGGTCGCAATTTGACAAAGTTTACGACTTTTACTACTTCGTCCAGCACAACTTTCAGAGAAGGTGGCAAAGATTTAGCAACAATGGCTTCGCGGTGAATAAGACAATGATCGCATCGTATGTTAGAATTAATTTCACGTACTTGAGCTACAAATCCTTTCACTCGGCCTGTCATAGCTGCGGCTCCGTCTGTACAAACACTAACACAGTCCTTCCATTTTAATTCATTTTTGAGCACATATTCGTTAGTTACACGAAATATTTCTTCACCAGTGGCTCGCTCGGGAAGTTGTTTGCAAAAAAAGAAATTAGTTGCAATTACATTACCATCGATGTACCGAATATAAGCAAGAAGTTGTGCGTGGCCGCTAATATCGGTGGACTCGTCGATCTGAAGTGAGAACTTTCCACTGCTCTTGATTTTCTCCTTCATAATGTCTTCAATGTCACTGGACATCTCAATAACTCGGCGACTGATTGTGTCAGCAGAAAGAGGAATTTTTGATATTTCACTAGCAGCTTCTGAACCCAGGACTATTTTCACCATCTCTTTACAAGCAGGCATTAATAACGTTTCAGCTATTGTATGTGGTTTTTTGGCCTTTACGATAAGTTCGGCTACTTTATAGCTAGCTTCCTGTACTTTGTCCGAAACACATACTGTTGTAGTCATGAATGCTGCTTGTTTTTGGTTTTGTTCCAACAACCGACGAAAATAATTGACATCTTTGCTTGACAGAGAAGAATGTTTTGTTGACAAATGTCGTTTCAATTTACTGGGAACCATAGCAGCATTAGTAAGTTTTTCACCACAAACAATACACTCAGGGATTGGGCACGTTTTATCACCACACCAAAAAAAACCGTAAGATAAATAATCACCACTATACTGCCGGCGCACTAACTTTTGTTTCTTTTTTTCGGGCTCGATGCTATCACTACTTCTACTCGTCGACGGAACACTCGGTACATGGAATTTGTCCATCTTAGAAAAAATTACATAGTATAATAATAATACAAAAAAATAAGACTGACTAGCAATCACAATTTTCGGACTACTTCAGAGCATAGCTGAGATAGAACTGAAATATTTGCAAGACGCGGGACCTATATTCTTCAAAGGGAAGTCTAACAATGGGTGGGGACAAGTACTGAAATAAAGTAATAAAGGAAAGGGTAATCCCTGTAATTTTGGGAAAAGCACGTACACAGAACAATTGGCAAGGTTAACAAAACACCTGTGAGTGAGTTTATTTTATATTTAATTTCTTAGAATGCATAAAAATGCATGGTTTGTAATAAATAATAAACAAACATCATCATAATTCACCAGTGCTGCATCAGAGAATGAAATACAGGCATAAGAAACACAGCAACTGTGATAAAAATATTCTATTATTTGTCAAGTTTTATTTATATATGTAAAAGTTCACGTCACACCTTATACCTTGTGACGGCACACCAGTGTGCCGCGGCACACCGGTTGCGAAACACTGCTTTAACTCAATTCAAAGCATTTTTGTTGTTGTATGCAGTTTCTAGCAAACTTTAATAAATTTTTTTATATTTGTGAAAATTTCTACGTAATTCAAAGGTAATTTTTATTATATATCTTACACAGCATTATTAATATGATGTTAGAGGTTGCAGAACTTTAAAATTACTTTAAAAAATGAAAAATAATTATATAATTTAATTTCAAGATATTTTGTATACCTTAAAAATAATTGATTCTATCCCGGGATTTCCCGGGATCCTGGGAAACAGTTCACTTTTATCCCGGAATCCCGGGACAAGCAAAAGATAGGGAAATGAGAAACCCTACTCTACACCAACTGATGGTGTAAAATAATTCTGTATTTTTGCATCTCTTAATCCCACTGGATTCTGTTTCAACGAATCTTCGTCGAATAACACAAGATCCTCCTCTACAGCTTCAGTTGAAAAACCTCTTCCAGTTTCTCTAGCGTCCCCCTTATGAGGTCTACCTTGACCTCTCTTTTGCATATCAACCTTCTCTATATCAGGATTATCCGGATCTCGACAACGGCCCCAGGTTAGGTTCAATTCCTGAAATTAATAACATGCATTGAATTAACTTGGAGCTCATTCTATTCATTCCAAATTGAATCTTTCGGTATCTCTTCATTGCTCTAGAATATGTAAGACACCTGAGCAGCACTTCAAAGCTGAAACAAAAATTCACCAGCAGCCTCAAACAGCACCAACTCTCCAAAAAATTCCCACTAGTCATATAAATAATATAATGAACTAGCAATTAGACATATTTCTGATTTAATAAAATAGGCATTTAAAAACATCAAAGCATTTACATTTTTGTCCGACAATCTGTTTTTGATTTTTGTAATAATGCCTCAGGACAAGGAGAACATCCTCTCGTTTTTAATAGATGTTGGTTTTATTGTGTTTTTGTGTTTAAAGCTTTATAAAGTACAGTAGACCCCCTATAACGCTTAGATACGTTCCACGCTAACTGAAAATTACGTTGTAGGAACGATTAAATACATGAGCCAATCGCAGCCCGATAGGTGGGAACTTTACGGACTAAGGCTGTTTGAAAGGTTTTCTTCTATAAAATTAACTGATTCTAGACTAATTCCACTCAACATTTCCAAAACACGTATAATTTTTTGGGAATAATCTGTATAAACTATGCTATAAACAAAAAATTATAGGATTACTTACCGAGTGTGTACCGTTCGACTACGCCCGTTGTTCAAAGCTTGTCTTCGTCGCGGAACAGCACACAAAACGGCGGCCGCGATATCTGATAAATAATTTATCGCAGAAAGATAACTTGACCTTTGGAGACATCATTAATATAAATAATTTTTATGGCCGTTGAATAAGAAGTGTTTCTTTCACAAGAAATGTATAAAATTAGTGCTGTATTAGACTTACGGTACCTATTTTACATACTGTGCAGACGATAATAAACTCAACTTACTAGCCTAAAATCTCCGTAGCGTGTTGCCAGGCGGCAGAAGCATATATATAATTATAATAAAGTTACAATAAATTAAGTTAATATATAATTATATATACAGTACCTAATTTATATATAATTAATATATAATTATATGTACAGTACCTAATTTATATATAATTTATATATAATACTAAACAGACGATAGCAAACTCAATTTAGCCGCTTTGTAGCGTGGCGCAGGGTCGGAGGTAAGTAGTTCGGCTGCTCATCCACTATTGGTCCAGACTCTATCAATCTTCTCGCGAAACAACGTTATAGGAGGTACATTATACGAAAGTTTTTACAATTTTTTTGCTATGTTATAGGAATTGTCGTTATAGGAATGTACGTTATACGGGGGTCGACTGTAGTGCAAACTTTCAGTACATTTTCCGGTTGCTTCAAATAACTAGTACTCCTTTTTTTAATGCTGCTCTTGATCTTTTTGCAAAATTCCGGGTACATTTTCTTCGATTTTTTTTGATTGTTTGTTTCATTTGACTTTGAAACGACTCAAGTTCTTTGTGTACTGTACAGCTACTGGTACTGGGTTTGGTGTTCATTATTTCCAAATGTGGCATTTGGATACGAGGGATATTTTTAAAAAGTTTGTAATACTGATCTTCTGCAAAACAGTAAGTGCAGTTTTATTCAAATTTGAAGTAAAAAAATCCATATTTTGTGATGTGAGCTGTGGTGGCCAGTGTGCAAATAATTTAACAAACATATAACCCATTGTGACCTTTTTCTCTTCTAGACGGGCTTTCAATGTTTCAAAGTACCGTACCGCCAGATTATCATTTGTCATTATCGATTGAATTTTTTTCAGTAAAATGTCAATTATTGCTTCGGCTGTGATTAACGAAGAGTTTTGTCTGCGTAAGGCTTTTACAGCTATCTTGACTGGCTGCAATAAAGTAATGATTGACTGCAAAAGAAGAAGATTGTCTTCATTCTATTTGTCTAACATGTTTAAATCAATAAACTCTTTTTTTATGCAATTTTTGAGCATCAAAAACCTTCCTGCCATTACAATTATAGAATTCCATTTTGTTTTGACATCCAGTAGTAAACTGAGTTCTTTTCCAAATTCTGATATTTCTGTAACTGGCTGTTTTTCAATGGACTCTTTTTAAAGACACACTTTTAATTTTATCAATTGGTTGTAATGGACATTTTGTTATGTAGCTGGCATTGCAGTCCTCTTCTTCATTAGAAGAGTTTTTGTTCTCCATGATTTCATCATCACTATCACCAGTATCTTCGAACTTAGAAGCTGCGGATGTGGCAGCATTCTGATTTTTTTTTAAAATGTGTCTACAACTCCTAGATGTATTGTGTGGTTCAAGCATAGGATCATTTCGCTGGGGCTATTCCTTCCAAACTTCTTCATTATGTTTGGACCATCGCTGGTGGTGGCCACAATATGTTTTTCAAAATACATTGAAAAGTTTTCAATTGGATCTTCGACTATTAGTCTGGTTTCTTCGGCATTGCACTTTCCGGGTATATACACTAATCCCAAATTGAAAACTTTTCTGTTCACACCATGCAGACACAAATTAAAGTACTGTACCTCCAGTTTCGGACGCTGGTCCATTTGTCGACTGAAATGTGTACCAGAAGCCACAAAATCTTTTAAAGTCTGAATCATTTCTTTTTTTCTCTTTTCATAATAACTCACTATGATTTTCATGACATCAGTTTTGTTCTTAGGCATTTTATAACCTCTCTGGATAATAGTCTTACAAATGAATTTACTCTTTGTGATTGCCCTTATTGTAAGTCCATCCTCTGCTGCCAAGTGGGAAATTATTTCAGGCAAAACTTTTTTGCAACATATCCTATTATTGTAGACTGCTTTTCAGTTTTAATTTTTTTACATTTTGGTTTGCAAGATGTCCCAGGCTGTATAACTGATTTTGATTTTTCTAGCTGATTTACAAAAATATTGTGAACTCTTTGCAGGTGCCTGTCAAGGTCTGTAGACCCTTGACATGAAATTTGTTTTGGACATAATTACCACTGTGCGGTTGATTCGTTTATTTATTATTTTTTTCATAATGTTTCCACACTTTTGCTATACATTCCATATTAAATGAATAGGTTGGTATCTATTTAAATTTGTTGACGATCTGTAACAATAATAATAGTAAATAAAGATATAACATTAATTTTGGATTAAGTATCACTATCATATCAATTAGTTATTTTTATAAAATAACCAATCTCATTCAAGGTAAACGTCTAACTGAAGTAAATAAAATCTAGTGTTTGTTTAAACTTACATGAGATAGGCGTCGTTTCCACAAGAGCATTGTAACACAACCACGTACAGCACTTCACCTCATAAAGTGAAATTGATGACAGACTGATTGAACTGACAGTGCTGACAAAGACAGTCACAAATGTCACGATCTCATAAACAAACGTCACAAAATAATAATATGGCAGCAAATGCATTTGTAAAGATTGTTTCTTAACAGAGTAAGGTTAAGTCACATGGCCCTGTAAATTACCCCCACCTGCGTTGTTTATTTGTAAACAGGAGGGAGAACAAAGGAAGCGTTGCTCGGCTAACCTTTTGAAAATAAAATTATTACAATACAATTTTGATAAGCTTGTTTCGTGTCTTGACCCGAAAGTCTCAGGACCCGAGACAATTAAATTTAGAAAGTCCCGGGACGTCGAGACACGAGATGTCCTGGGAACCAAACCCTAATTGTAAGATTGCATTTTAAAATTTCTTGAAATTAGAGCTTAAAATTTTGAATGCTTTGAGCATTTTTTTGTTTAATGTTCAGACGAATTTTATAGATATTTATTTTTTTTACTGATAATTTAAAATCTAAAATTGATTGTTTATGTGAACAATTATTGTAAAATGCAACTGGAAGGAACATTGCAAAACTGCAAGGTATCAAAACTAAGTTCGAAATATAGCATACTGCAATATCAATTGTCATTTTGAAATTTTGAAACACTTTTAGATTTTA